ATTTTATCTGATAAAGTAGCATTTATGAGCACAGCGCTGCTTTGTTTACTGTAGTTACAGAGGAAACCGCTGTATTTCTGATGTTCCAAAAGCGCTTCCTGCTGGTAATAATCACGTCTGCAGTTTTTGTTCAGACCAATGCGAAAATCCACCCACATAACCCCGTTTTAAATTAATATCATAATTTATACTTCCGACTCATCTCTTTTCTTAAAAAAATAGTTTAAAGGCTCAATTGTGAAGTTTATCATTTTATAATTTATTTTGTTTTTGTGAAAACTGTAAATCAATTGTTATTTCGTGGTCTACAACATGAAAGAAAGCCATTATAACATGGACACAACTGTGGGGCACCATTATGCAGCAGCAAGCATGACAACAAAAAAAGGAACCTCAAGGCTAAATACATAGGGCTCCATTCATATATTTTGCCTGGGGCCCCCAAATCACTAAATCCGCCCCTGATTATAATCATAATTATCATTTTTTGCTTGTCCATCACAGCTTTATGAATGAACATATGGCACAATTTCATATTATTTGCCACTTTCGGCTTGCTAAGTATAATTGAATCACTGAATCATGTTTAATGAATGTTTCATTTACGTTCCTCCACCTTAATAAAAATCAGGGTTCTCTTAGGGTCGGCCAACTAATAACAGAAAAAACCTAAGAGTTATTAAGCATCACTGCACAGAACAGTCCCTCATGAGATTACTTTTCATGAGTGAAGGTAAGTATCTAAAGTCATTCCAGAAGTGATTATACGCTTGCCTGGAATGTTTTCTCTTGTTCACTTCGCTTTGTGATACCCGTAATTGCTGAAATAACAGTAGTATGTCTTCTGAACAGTTTCCAGAAGCCTGGTTCTGTTTGCAATTTAGCCATTGCATGCAAAAGCTTAGCTTGCGGGAGTCTGTATTTACAGAAAATTATTCTTTGAGCCCAATGATGCATCCATATTGGTGTGACTCTGTACTGGACTGAACTGCTAAATAGACAGCATTGTGAAACACACAAAAGTAAATATGGGAACTGAACAAAAAATAATCTGTGATTTATTATGAAATAAATACAACCTTGTAAATTAGCTGTACAAGTGTCCACTAAATAATAAGCACTCTATTAATCTTTCATTTATGAGAACAGATAAAATTGTTTTTAAATTTGCATAATAAGCTAAATTATGTATTGTTTGCGTCTAAGGATAATGTCTAATTTCCTGGTGTTTTTGACTAAATTAATGACTGTAATGTGGTGTTTTGGGTTGTGTTTCTTGTTCATGTTTTCATGTCTTTTATTTTGTAGTTTGGTCCCTGTTTGTGTCATTCTTCCCTTGCCTCATGTCTCTCTGCCTTGTTTATGTGTCATGTTCTGATTGGTTGTCCTAGTCATGTGTCTTGTTTCCCATTGGTTTGTTCATGTCATGTGACCCT